GTGCCAAGCAGGCAGTGGGGTGACGGACAGCCCAGTGAAAGTTTACTGCATGGAAGCCTGCCTTTACTATGCAAGACGGGGGGCAATGACTTCTAAAAAATGTATCAGGGTATCACAGTCCATTTCTGAATCATTTCTTCAAATAAAAGTGGGACATCTTGGTTCTGTAAGGACTTATTAACCTAATTGTGTACAATCCATTTACTCTCTCTGAACTCCTCATCCCTCCTGACAGGTTATCAATAATTCCTGCCCCTTAGCTGGTACACAGGAATGCTAAAAGCATCCGGCAACAGCTTGCAGGGAGATACCCAAACATAAGGTGCCACTCCTTCTTGTTATTTCATTGAATCAAATTCCAAATCACAGTTTCCTGGAGTTCTTATTCCTCACCAAGCTAAATCATTCCATGATGTCATTACCCCTTCGGCCCTGAACAGGGTATTTGAAAAAGGTGGATCTTAGGGTACAGGCTTGACTCCAGGTCAAGGGAACTGCCATGGTTGAGGCAGGTGCCAGGTGCAGCTCGGAGGTCTGGGGATGGCCCAGGGAAGGCCTTGATCACTGAGTCTCTCGCCAGCCCAGCTTTGACTCAGATATAAGAATAGGTTGCATACAGGGGCTCATGCCTGTAGTTCTAGTACTTTGGGAGACTGAGGCAGGCATATCATTTGAGCCCAGGAGTTCAAGACCAGCCTGGGCAACATGGAGAAATCCTATCTCTACAAAAAACACCAAAAATTTGCCGGGTGTGGTGGCATGCACTTGTAGTCCCCACTACTCAGGAGGCATGAGCCCAGGAGGTCGAGGCTGCAGTGAGCCACGATAGCACCCCTGCTCTCCCACCTCAAGGAAACAGCCTCATGGTGACACAGACCATGTCTCAAAAAATAAATAAATAAAAAGCATGTAAGAATAAAGGTTCAGAGGGCCAGGAAGCAACAATGCACAGCTCCTACTAACAATTCATACTAATTTTAAAAGTTCACAAGCTTATCAATGTGATCTATTTTTTAAATTTTCAGATTCAAAAACTGTAAAACAAAGTATGAGTGGGGAAAGTGTCAAAGCTAGAGGAACATAATGGGAAAAGGAAAACAGAAAGAGTAAAGGGAAGGGGAGAGGAGTAGTGACAGAACAAAGAAAGGAAGGAGGGGGGTAAATGAAATGAGGCGGAAGAGAGGCAAGGACCCCACATGCCAGAAAGCTCTTTCTTTGTTTTTTTGAGACAGTGTCACTCTGTCACCCAGGCTGGAGTGCAGTGGCCCGATCTCAGCTCACTTCAACCTCCACCTGCCAGGTTCAAGCGATTCTCCTTTCTCAGCCTCCCAAGTAGCTGCGATTACAGGTGTGTCCCACCACACCCAGCTAATTTTTTTTTTTTAAACCAGAAAGATTTCAATCAAAGGAAGGGCTGCCATGATAGACAGCCTCGCTTGGCTTGCTGGCTCAGGCCTTGGAGTTCCAGGAGCCTAGCAGATCCCTACAGGTAAAGCCTGAAGAGGTCAGATTAGCAAAAGAAGTCTATTTAAGCATCCTTTTCAATGCACCTTTTATTGGCTACCTACTTTCATCTGACCCCAGTGGGCCCATTGTCTCCTTCCCCTTTGAAACCCGAAGTGCTTCTCCCTATCAACCCTGCTGCAGGAGGTTCCTCTAATGTAGTCATTTCCTAAGGAGAAATCTATGAATGTTCCCAAGTTCTTCCTGCATGCAGCCCTTCAACACATGCAAAAGCAGCTTTGGTAAGTCAGTCTCTGGATCTTTAGATGCCACTGGGGATCCGCATGGGACATTCAATTGCCTATCAATAATCAACCAGAGCTTTCCAGAGCCAATTAGGAAAACTGGTCTATGTGGGCTCTTTTAAAAAATATATTATAAAAGTGTCCTGTTTTCATGCAATTGCCCTGTCCTCTGCCAACCGTAAGCATTGGGAAGGGTGCCACTACCTGTTGCTGAGACCTCACCAGCAGGGAACACACACAGGACCACGGGCTTTGTGAATACTTGTGGAATGCATGAACAAATGAATGGATGGGTGAGTGAATGCAAACATGTCGAAGTACAAACATACAGGCAAAAATCAAGCATGAAAAATTAGGAACATATTATGTGAACAATCCACCCTGCATAGCAAACCCCACATGTAATGTGGTTTGGCATATGACATCATGAGCTTCCATCGCTGCCCTCGTCCCTCCTTCCAGATAAGCTGCTGCTTCCGCAGCGGATAGAACACATCTTGTTGTGTTTGGACTCCAATCCCATGTGAACACACAGCTGCACAGTCCAGGATGCAGCCTGGCCAGGTCAAGAAGCAAAAACCCAGCTGGGAGTCTTGCCCGCTTTGGGAAGAACGCACAGATCCCCAACATGGGCTCCAGGTGTCAGCACAAGGCCCTGATGTTCTACAGACACGTGTTGCCTATAATCAAAGATCCTCCATTCAAAGGCACGGGACTCTCACACCTGGAAATGTGCTCAAAGAATACCCTGCACCATTTTGTTTTCCTATGGATGGGAGTGTCTACACACAAAAACTGCTCACCCCCAACACTCGTCATTTGTCTAGCCAAACGATTTGTTTTAAACAGAAATTCTGATGAAATGGAGAGGGCCATCATGTCAAGGAAAGTTGCTGTTTTATAAACTAGAATAACGGATCAAGCCTTGGAGTTCCTAAAGAAAGAGGATCTCTTGAGCCCAAGAGTTCGAGGCTGCAGTGAGCTGTAGTGCTGCCACTATAGTCCAGCCTGGGCCATAGTGTAAGACCCGGTCTCCACAAACAAACAAACAAAAAATTATATCAGTTGGATATGGCGGTGTGTGCCTGCAGTCTTAGCTACCTGGGAGGCTGAGGCAGGAGGACTGCTTGAGCCCAGGGGTTTGAGGCTATAGTGAGCTATGATAGCATCTGTGAAAAGCTACTGCACTCCAGCCTCAGCAACATAGTGAAACCCTGAAAAAAAAAAAACAAAAAAAAAGAAGGAAAGAAAGAAAAAAAGTCATCTAGCATCCACTGGAAATCTATTTTTAAATTGTTGGATTTTAAACAATCTTGGTTTGTAAGGTATAAAATTGACTAGCTTACCACTGTATAATATATTTACGGATTAATTTAATGAGCCTTTACTACATGCATGTACAGGCAGGTGTCAGAGGTGTGTTATAGTTTACATAAACTGGTAACTTCCAACTTAAAAATAAATAAACATCTCCATTCATCTCTGGTGGTTCTGTGTGAGGCAATGTTTGAATAAGGTAAACTGCTGTCTTCTGAATTATCTTTTGAATATTGATTACTAAAAAGAAATGGGAAAACAATAAATATCAAATTTCTGATCTGAAGTCCATGACTACAAGAGGAGTTACACTTGTTCTGATGTCATTCAGGCTTTTGAATCCAGCCGACAAGAATGTGTTGAGTAACCACTGTTTTCCATGTGCTACGTGAGGCACCGGGAAGCTGAGATAAAACACACAGCCTATGAATGAGTTCCAGTCTAGTTCTAGCTCCAAATAATTTAAATACCTTTAAGATCCCATCTTGATGTTTAATCTCAAAACACGTCAATTGCAGCCACGCAGGTCAACCATAGCTGCACAGGCTAGAATGGCGGGTGGCCTCAGGTCCGTCAATCACACCAGTTTGGGGACCCAGGGCGACTCCATCCTGCATGCTATGGCTCTACCATGCCTTCCCTGAGTGAGTTACAAACACTTCTACACCTACAAAATGAAAACCACCCACTCTTTTTCATGGCAGGGGTCTCCTCTCACCTCCCAAGTGTGGCTCACTCTTCACTCTCCCAGCCATCTGAGGTGCCTATGACCCCTACTCCCATGCTGGCCTTTCCCTTGGTGTCCAGCAGCTTCTATGAATGACTGGCCGCCTCCTTCTCACTGCAGTCCTGCGGCTCTGTGGGGTTTCTCTGGCACACTGCACCAGGGCTGTGTCCCGAGAGGCTTGCACGCTTCCTTCTGCTTCATTCATTGCCTGCCTGCTTTTCACTGCCTCCGAAAGTTGTATTAACCCAAACAGACAGGTCTATTTCCTTGTTGACTGACAAGCTCCATATTTATATAGTGCAAGGACATTCTGGCATTAATTCTGTTCACCCATGAAAAAAGGGCAGCTGCTTCTGCCACAGACATCCCTCATCTCACTCAGGACTGTACGCCTGGAGGATCTTGAAGCCGCAGACAGAATCAGGGCAGTAAAGGCATGGGTCACGAAGGCTGAGGATGTGTGTGAAGTCTGAGTTCACACCAGGCAAGACACCACCCACAAGCACTCGGATGGACCCGGGAGACCAGATGCTGCTCCAGAACCCTTGTGACATTCCCATGCAGAGAGCATGTTTTACAGCAAGAGGAAAGCCAAGACTCCCAGGAGCAAAGTAGTGATCAAATCTTTAAGAAAGGGAGAATGACAGCTGGTGGGGAGAATATTTAAGTAGATGCTACCAGAGAGCTGTAGTAGTCAGGGTTTTCTAGAGAAATAGAACCAACAAGAGATGTACATAGAGAGATTTGTTGCAATGATGTATCTCACGCAAGTACGAAGGTGAAAAAGTCCCAAGACCCGCAGTCAGCAGGCTGGAGACCCAGGAGAGCCGATGGTGCAAGTTGCAGTCTGAAAACAGCAGCCTCTATAGACCCAAGAAGAGCCGATGTTTCAATGTGAGTCCAAAGGTGGAAAGGACCAATGTCCCAGCTCAAGCAGTCCGGCAGCGGGGCTTCCCTCTTACTCAGTCTTTTCGTTCTATTCAGGCCTTCAACTGTTTGGAGGAGGCCCACTCACATTATGGAGAGCAGCCAGCTTGACTTGGTCTACCCATTCATATGTCAATCCTATCCAAAAACACCCTCACAGACACACCCAGAACATATGACCGAATGTTTGGGCACCACATGGCCCACATGAAAGTAATCATCACGGGAGCTAAAACTGAAATCCACAATTTAGGATGACAGAGGAAATTCATTTGACTCACCCCAAAGTCAAAATGCCAGCCTAGTCTCCAGGAAGACACAGTTTTCAGCCCCTAGAGAAAGCACATGCATTTTGTTTCAGATGGTCATCTTGAGGAAGCGGCTTCAGTATGACGCAACCTGAGATGGACACTTAATAAATGTGGCTTTGATCAAATTCTCATAATAAAACCGCACAGAAGAACCCAACGTCTGACATTTCCATTCACCCAGGCTCAAGGAACTTTTTACCTCAGGGCATCTGAGTCAGAGAGCCGCTTACCAACTTTACCAACTCAGGCCCCGGTGCTGACAAAGGAAGCTGCCTGAGTCACAGAGGCTGAATAACTGGCCCTCAGCACAGGACGGGAGTAAACTCCTGCTATCTAGTCTGATTTGTGTGTGTGTGTGTGCAATATTCTACTGGGTGTTTTTGACTGCAATTTAAATATCTTTCAGTACTGGAAGTGGCTTAACACGCAATCTTGGGTCAAAGAATGCAGCATAAGGCCTCATAGAAATATTCAAATGTTAAAAAATAAATAAATATTCAAATGTTCCTCCCGTGGTGTGTTTAGGGTTAGAACTCAGGTTCTCAAGTTAAGCTGCCTGGGGTCAGATCTCAGAGCTACCATTTACAGCCTGGGAAACCCTGAGTTAAAGTTACTTTGATCTCTGTTTTCAGTGTCTTTACCTGTAAAAATGAGGCTTTCAAATATGTACACACTGTCTATGATGTCCAGACTTTTTAACAACCCTGCCAAAGAGACAACATCATTGTCACTGTTTCCCAGTGAAGGAAACCGAGACACCACAAGATGAAGTGATTTGGCCCAGGCTGCACAGGTTGAGGGACCCGGATGTAAATTTAGGCAGCCTAGATGCAGTCCCCCGCATCCTCTAGCCTACCGCATCTGCCTGTGGCTATTTGTGAGACCGTGAGCTAAAATGAGACAGAATCTATGTGCCCAGAACAGTTTCTGGTCTTTAGTAAGCCCATCATTAGCCTTCATCGACATATGATGGTGTAAACGCATTTTAAACCATGGCAGGCTAATAAACACCATGAAAACACAATTCTATGTATCAGTTGATGATCTTCTAAATTGGAGGGTGATCTAAATCCAGTAACACTTGAAAAAATTTTATATAAATGCACAATGAAATGTTCTTTGAGTTTGATTTTATTAAAATTAAAGTGATAGACTAGGAATTCCTGTACTTCTAAGACTTGCTGCAAATTTTTTTTTTTTTTGTCTAAAACATCTTCAGGATAGTGCAAAACCTCTTTTCTTTAATATATTATTATAAAACATTCGTTAGTAGAGTCAGCACCAAAAATGTGAGATGTATTTGGAGTTGTGTTTTGAAGACAGTTCTCCTGATTCTAAGCCCAAATTGTGATTTATTACCTTCCAAAATATGTGGAAGGGAGTGCGGGCCTTAAGTTCAGTGCTGTCTAAGTTCACTGCTGCTTGGAGGCCAGCTACACATTTCAGCTAACGGGGTTAGCCTACTTCCAATTAAAACCTGACTGGGGATATGAAAGTAAATATGACTGATTCATTTAAAATCAGAAAAACAGTATTTTCTTCCCTCAATTTCTAGTATGCTAAGATATCACACGAGTGCAACTTAAGAAAAACTTAGAATCTTTTTCATTTAAAATACGCCTTTTTTTTTAACCGAATGGTTCAGTTATTAAATGTCTACACGAGTCAAGGAGTGAGGTCACACTGCAAACTCCACTTATTTCTACTGAAGGGAAATAGCCCGGACACCCCCGCGCAGACCACCGTGCCAGGACAACCGGCTCCGGAGTCGGGCCTTGAAGCAAGGGGACAGCGTCACCTCCCCGCAGCCGCCGGCTGGGACCCGCGGCCAGCCTTTACCCAGGCTAGCCAAGCCCCTGCCCGCATGGCGGTGCCCCACCTGGTGAGGACTTGGGCTGTAATCCCCTCTCTGGGGATGGGTCCGTGGGCTCCTCTGAGCTCCAGCGCCCCCAGGGTCTAGCCCCCTCTCATTGCTCCGCTCCCCTCTTCCCGTGGTCTCCCCACTCCCAGCCCCCAGGGATCTGCTCCCCTCTCCCGGGTCTACCCTACAGCTCATTTCCTCTCTCCCGGCTTCTCTCCGCACGGTTCGGCTCCCCTCTCCCAGTGGTCTTCTCCGACCCACAGCTCTCCTCTCCACTCACCGGTCTCCCCAACTCCGGATCTGCTCCCCTCTCCCCGGGTCTCGCACCGGATTCGGCCCCCTCTTCCGAGTCCTGGTGGCTAAGCCCCTCGGCCTCCCTCCGGGGCGCAGGGAGCTGGAGGTACTCACGGCGCCGCAGCGGCCCGGGGACTCCCGGACGGCGCGCGCGGGCGCGGGCGGCTGGTGGCTGCGGCTCCGCTGCCTGCCGAGTGGAGCGCTGCGCGGCTCCCGCCCTCGAGAACCCCCTCCGTGTCATTTGACCATATAAGGAGATGCACGCCTCGGCTCGCTGGCACCGGGCGTGGGGTGCTGGGGGCGGGCGCCCCCTGGCCTAGCGGTCGCCGTGCCCCCGCCCCGGGCTGCGGCGCTCCCGGCCCGTGCCCTTTGTTTGCCAGGGCTCTTTCTTCTTGCCCTCCGGGTCTTGGGAGCACCGTGGTTACCCGAGAGTCTCCTCCGACGTGGGCGTGAGTTTCGGACGGGGCCTGGACGCCAGTGGCAGGGGTCTGCCCACGCGGGGATCTCTGCCTGCTCCCAGGAGCAGGAAGCTGGCAAAGCCCGAGGAGGTGCCGGGGGCGGCGGAGGGAGGAGGGGGCCACTTCTCAGGAGGCATGTGCCTGGGATGTATTTGCAGGGTGGATTTTTTTCCTTCTTACCCTGCAGATGCTTCTTTACGAAAAGAACCCCACAGATGACCGTAAAGAATCGTTCGTTCCACTAGGGAGGGGACTAAAGGAAGGTCCTATCCCCACCTCTCCCTCTCGGGGCCAGAAGACTAGTTAGACATGCTGGATTCCCCTCCAGGGCGGGAAAAGCAAAGTGAGCTGGGAGCGTGCCTCCCACACTCCAAGCCTGTGCCCTCTGAGTGAGGCTGACGCTGGGTAGGGACAGATGGCACTGTTCAACATTGTGGCAGGGAGAGCACAGGCTGAGCCCATCCCTGGGAGAGGGTGCATCGTGATGAAAACGTTTGCTCCTGAGCAGGTAACTGGTCCACTTGCAGAAACCGATGGACGATGAGCAGGTGGAAAACAAAGGCGTCCTAGGCACTTTGGGGGCAGGTGTATTATTTTTAACATTCAGGGCAGCTCATAGGAATACATCCTCCAGAGAAGGCAGGAAGAACTCCGTGATTGCTTTCTTTTAGTTGATACTCCCCATCTGGTAGCCCTCATGGATCTCCATCATGGAATCACAGAACTTGAGAATCAAGGGTTTCATCACCTTAGCTTCCACTCTGTGAGCACTAAGCTCCACCTGGTATCTCATTTGATCCACACTTCCTTAAGGTAAAGATTTTTACCAGATTTATGGTGAGGAAAGTTCAGCTCAGAGAGATTTGCTCAAGGCCACGTGAAAGGTAACTGTGCCAGCTGAGATTTGAACTGGAGTCCGGTAGATGGCAAAACCATGTAGGTATATTACGGGATCAGAAATGCCTCTCATCCCTCAGTCACTCAGGTGACTCCAGAGGACTGAGACTTGCCATAAGCCCAGCCAGAACTAGATGTGCGGAATACAGCCGTCCCCTAACCCCACCCCACGGTGTCCCTGAAACGGGACACTTCCCCGAAGAACCTGAGTTAAGGCCACCCTACCTGAATTTCCGCTAAGTGTCAAGGCAGGCTAGTATTTTGAAATTCAGAGTAAAGTTTGTGTAGAAAAGGCTCCCAGCCCCTGACAGCTACCTTGCTGTGTTGTCGCTATCGTTACATATTAGGAAATGGTCTCCTAGTTCTCAAATGGTGAGCCTTAAGCTGCAGTTTGTAAAAACAAGTCCTAAAATGATGAAACATTAATTCTGCATTTATCTTCTTTCTGATTTCCTCTTGTCTTACATTTTGATTTTTTTAAGCTTTCTGACTTATGGGTGTAATCCATTTAACTTTGCTTTTTTTACTGATAGAGTTATTTAGTTCTGTTATTTTTCTTCTAATAACTGCTTTAGCTGTGCCACATAGTTTCAGCGATGTTGTTTTATTATTAAGAAATTCTGCGATTTAATTTTGTGTTTCATTTTTGACCTAATGGGTAGCAGAACATTTTAAATGACCCTGTGGTAATTTGATAGGATCAGTAAAATCCAGACTCTGGAAGCAAACATACCTAGTTTCTACAACAACAATGCACAAAGAAAAAGAAGAGAGATGGAGGGAGAAACCAATAGATTAAAAAAAGACTTAGCCAACTGCAATGTATGGATATTATTGGATTCTTTTTGCTTTTTGGTTTTTTGGATCTTATTGGATTCTAATAAAAGAATAAACTAGTAGAAAATCAATTTTGTGAGACAATCGGGGAAAATATGACACTGACAGGATATTTTCTAGTATTAATGAATAATTTATTTTAGGGGTGATAGTGTGATTACACACATACATATATTTTTCTTTTCTTAAGTCCTTGCTTTTCAAGAACAGCACCAAAATATTTCCTAGTGAAATAACATTATGTCTGGAGTTGTTTCAAAATAATTTGGGGTGGGGAAATGGATAGGGCCTATATCTATATGAAATACGATCAGCCATGGATTGTGGATAATCGCTGAAGTTTGATGATAGATATGCAGTAGTTTATCTTACTAGTCTGTCTCCTTTTGTAATGCTTGAAAAATCCCATAACGAAAAGATTTTTAAATTACAGATGAACATACCATTGACTCCTTACCCAGCATTTCCCTTTATAGGAAATTATCTTGTAGATATGCTTGCTTATGTGCAAAACTGTATACACACAAGGGTAGTCATTGTAGAATTGTTTGTAATAGAAAAATACTGGACCATGTTATGTGTTCATCAACAAAGGGCTTAGTTAAATACAGTATGGTGCATTTTAGAATTATTTACATATGTGGCTGTTAAAATGAACGAGGTAACTATATTTACTGATTTGGCATGATCTCCAAGATAAATCAACTGAGAAAAAATAAAAGTAGAGAACACTTTGTAGGTAGAAACCAACCACTTGTGTTCATGAGCAAAGAAAGGACCAGGGAAGACAATGTATACTTGTAAGTGGTTGCCTCTGGGGAGATCTGGGTGGTCAGGGGTCATGGGGTGGAAAGGAGATTAACTTTTACTGTACACATTTTTATGTCTTGTAAATTTTGAGCTATGTTAATGTTGTACTCATTCAAAAACTAAATATATATATATTTGAGATGGAGTCTCGCTCTGTTGCCCAGGCTGGAGTACAATGGCGCCATCTTGGCTCACTGCAACCTCCGCCTCCCAGGTTCAAGCGATTCTCCTGCCTCAGCCTCCAGAGTAGCTGGGACTAGAGGCATGTGCCACCACACCCGGCTACTTTTTGTGTTTTTAATAGAGATGGGGTTTCATCATGTTAACCAGGATGGTCTTGATCTCCTAATCTTGTGATCCGCCCCCCTCGGCCTCCCAAAGTGCTGAAATTACAGGCGTGGGCCACTGTGCCTGGCCCAAAAACTAAAAATATTTAAAAAATAAAAGCAACACACAGACTCCTTTAAGGAAAATAGGAAACAAATTTGTTAAACTGAGATGAATTGTAAGTCAAAGGAGGTTGGCAAGAAATAGAGGAAGGGAATGCAATTTCTGGGTTTAATGACATGTATGCTTTGATGAGCAAATCCATCGAAGGACAAAGTATTAAAAACAAATTTTCATGAGACAATCTAGGAAAATGTGTTTTGAAAAGTTCCATCTGTCTTGTACATCATTATATTCCTGGGACCTTGTTATAGAGCATGGCACATAGTATGTGCTTAATAAATACATGTATTGAATAAGTGACAGATCACAGAATTGTTTGTGGCAAGTCTTTCACTATAGTGTGTAAGACTTGTGTAATGCTATCTATGGCAGATCTTTGAAGTCAAGCCAGGATTTGAATCTCTGTTCAACGTATGACTAGCTCTGTGATCTCCAGTAACTACAAAACTTCCCTAACCCTCAGTTTGCTAGTTTGTAAAATGGGTTAATAACATATAGTTTGTGAAATTGTGGCAAAGGTCTTTCGATGCGCATAAATCACTTAGCACTATTAGCACATTACTTGGCATGAAGTAGGCCCTTAGTAAAGTCTTCTGTTTTATTCAATGGCAAAGGGGGAAATTAATCCAGAATAAGAAGTAAATGGACTTAACTCCCACAAGAAAGAAGAATTAAGGTTCAGATCCTGTTCTAAAGATGACAGATTATCTTCTTGAGAGAAAACCTCTCTGCTAGGGATAAAAGGAGAGTTCATGGAAGAAAAAAAAAACATTAAGAAGTACTATTCCCTGGGCAAAGGATCAACGGTGACTGTGATGAGTTATTCAAGTTCTTCTTTTGTTTATTCCAATTATCCTTACATTCCCTCTTGAGACAACACTGCCCATAATGTCTCCCGTCTCTCCTGTAGGTGGGCTTCAGGGAGAGACACAGCTAGGAAGGGAGGAAGGAGAGGAAGAGACTTCCTGCGGCTAGTAGGTCTCAAAGCCTGGTCCCACAGTGCAGCAGGATCCCCTGCAAACCTATTAGAAGTTCACATTGTCAGGCCAGCTCCTGCTTTAACAAGCCCTCCAGGTGATTCTGATGACTAAAGGTGATTTGAAGTAAAATAAATACCTCTTAGGGCTTCCAACTCTCGACTCAGTAATTTACCAGAAATCTACAAAATGTCAGTTTATGGGGTGAGGGAAGGAGAGTGAAACAGAGATAGACTAAACATAGACTAGACTCAGGAACTCTAAAATCCAGTTAGAAGTACTACTTGCTCTGTCAGTTACTTCACTCAGGGAAGCAGGAGGTAGAAAAGTTTCAGCCAGTGGGTCTGAGCTGTACAAATGCTGAAATTTCATTCTCTGGGAGAGGCGGAAGAAAGGCAGAGCTTCCAGGAGTGTGCTCGCAACTGCCACTCTGTGGTGAGGTCGTGGTGGGGGAGGCTGGTGCGCTAGACCCATCTGTGCAGGGGCAAACAGTAGCCTCCTACCCGGATAGGGGGCTACCCCAGGGGGGTTAGGATGAGCTCACCATTACCAGGTAGAAAGTGAACACAGGAAAACATGAGCTGGAGGTCAGACCCCCGCTACATTCGTTACCCTAACTGACCACTGCCGTCAAGATTGTTAAGCATTTTGTCACCGTTAAAGGATTTCACACAAGCTGCTCCTCCCACTCAAACCTTGGCCAGGAAACTGGTGGATGATTTGCCCTTGATTCAGAGGTAATCGTTCTTAATTGCCTCACATGGTTGGAAGGTGAGTAAGTGTCTAAGATCATAAACGCTGGCGGGAAGGGGTCAGGAGTGATCAAACCAGCTCGCCTCCTGGCAGTGGGGTCAGAAGGCAAGTCCCTGCACGCCTTCCCATGACACAGTACAGATCCCAGGGTGGTGGCACAGAAAGCTGGATTCACTTTTTCTGAAAACACTATTTGCCTGGCTCCAGCAGGAAAGTCTATGGAAGATGACTTTACAGAGGCAGGGTGTACACCTGCCTGTGCCCGTGAGCTGGGTGCAGTTGTGACGGGAGACCCAAGGGCCTCCAGCAAACAGGAGGAACTTGATCTGGTTACAGGAATGATCTTGCAGGATCCAAACTTTGTTCCTTCGCCTGTCAGACTTTCAGGAAAAGCTCACTTTCCACAAAGGGCAAGCTCTTTTCCTTTTCTTCTCCCTTCTGCCATGCTCTGGTTAGGAGGGAAAATGCTTGGCTCTTTCTTGAGATACAAAATTTCCATATCCCGTTTCTTCCCGCTCTCCTTTTTCACAAACTGATTTATTGGATGCAAATAGTCAGTGTTTCAAGCCTCAAAAACATGCCAGACTTTGAGCCAAATCCACAAACAACTCCATGATTCCGAGTTTCCCATCCTTGGTTAGAGTTTATTTGGGGCGTTGGATACAAGTTTCCATTGTGGGTTTGATACCTCATTAAGAAAGGCTGTGTTTGGTACATGAATGACCAATAGAATGAAACTATTCGTACCCATAGTTCATTTGGGCCAGTAAATGTTGCTGGATGGTTTCAGTTGAAAAGTATTTGTAAGGTAGACTCTGAAAAATTTTGCTTCTTATTTGAGATCTCTTTGTCTCTGATTTCAGTCCTTTTCAGCAGCAATCCATTCACTTCTCTGCTTGCCTCTCTTGCAGTTTTACTCTTTTTTTCCTCTGTCAACGATTCCAAAATCCATTTCAAGGGAGCATTAATGTCTAAAGTCTGTGCAAACCTGGCAAAATTCTCTTCTGAATGAACGATTTGCTTCCCTAAAATACCTGAAATGGGAGATTCTTCCAGGCATTTCTGAAATGGGAGAGTCTCATGACTCACTTGTTCCTCAGAATGTTTATTTTATTTTATTTGAAACGGAGTCTCACTCTGTCACCCAGGCTGGAATGCAGTGGAGCAATCTCTGCTCACTGCAAACTCTGCCTTCCCTGGTTCAAGTGATTCTCCTGCCACGGCCTCCCAAAGTGCTGGGATTACAGGTGTGAGCCACCATGCCCGGCAAGAATGTTTATTTTAAATCACATCGAAATCTGTTATTCTTTATGAATCAACTTTATGAGTCAAC